AGTGTCTCGAGCATAATCCATTTCCGCCCATTGGGGTCATCACTGTCGGCACGAAGACCAACGGTGAGGGCATAAGCTGTTATTAGTAAACCAACAGCCACTTTGAACTCAATCCTGTCGACTATACCCTCTGGACCACGGTCGGATTTCTATAACGAATAAGCTGTTCTCTCTATCTTTATCTACCTCCCACCTTTCGAGGAGCTACATCAAAGCCTCGAGACTTATTCTCCGCCCCATCACGATCCCGGGGGAATTTTCCCATCGATGAACGCCCGGCTGGATCGGCAGTTGAGGGGTGCGTCACATTTGCCATGGTCAGAGTGGGACCATGACTGAGATATGCTCAATCAGTGCCGGGAGCCACGCCTCGAAGGTTAAACGACTTCAGTGGCGCCCTCACGATATCTTGCGTTCTCAAAAAAATCCCACTGCCCAGATCAGAGCTTCGTTTCAGAATACTTAGATTCAACTGGTCAGTCTTTCTGGCTCGGTATCCTAAATGGGAAAACCAAAGACACGAGCGGACCATGCCGCAGCCCGTGAGAGAAAGGAAGAGAAGCGAGCAAGGAAAGCTGAGGCTATGCAGAAGGATGCTCAACAGGTGCCTTTCGAATCCTCTGTACATGGGTGCTTCGACCAATGGGATATCGATATCGATGGATATCGATCGGATCTGATCGTACCAATGGGGATAGGAGCGCTCGTTGTTGGTCAGATTTCGGATAGTATCAGGAGGCAGTATTATGATGCGGAAAAGGCTTATATCAAAATGAACGAACAGGTGGAGAAGTAAGCGGATAAATTCGGGACAAGACGCCTCTGTATTGGCAAGCAACGATGGCAGTATGCTCGGTCTGTTGGCATCTACTTATCGTGATCGTCGTTTGTTTCCAGATTGAATGCCCGCATAATGTACGAGATGCGAGAAAAAAGGCTGGCGGAGCTTTCGAAGAAGCATCTGGCCGAGTTTCAGGAGATCGATGATGGGATGCCCACGATCGTAGGCTCTAGTGCTGCCTGATCGCAACCCTTGGAGGTAGATAGTCGGATCAGTGATCATCTCAGGACCCGACATGTGTCGACGAGGTCAATCGCGTGCGCTTCTTTCGACCAAGTGGTCGGATGTTCGTCCTGAGCGACCGGAAGGAAATGTTAGATTCAGCCGAATCAATGATCAAGGATTGTGAAGAGTTGATTCCAAAGCTCAAAGGTATTCATGACAGGTTCGTTGAGAAACAGAATGAGGTGCGTCTCTCCACACTGGACACGTTCACGATCGTATTACTGGCAGGCGAAGCGCAATGTCCAAGATATACTTGAGATGGTTCAAAAACTAGGCGGACGCGCTGTAGATAAGAGTGATTCGGCACCCACGTGATGAATTAGTCGATAGTTGGGAACACATGTATTAGGTTGATGATTGGTATCTCATTTGTATGTCTGTTGTGTTCTTCCATGCGACGCATTTCTGCCTGTTAATTGAAGTGTAGTATATGGCTCGTGGAGAAGTGTTGATATCATTACTGTCCAACCGAGTGATAGTGCAACTTCGTGAGGTTGAACACTTACCACTTACGGGTTCTCTGACATATATTTATTTCGAGGTTCTGTGGCACAACGGTAGCGCATCTGACTCTATATCCGTCAGGGGCACCTCAGAAATTTTCAATCATCGATTCACTGACCACTTGGA